ATGGGGAAATAAGGACGAAGGGATCGTTCAGGAAATAATCAGGATACAGCAAATGTGTATATAGGATAGAGGACGGCCATTAGCATGCTGTAGTGTCGCCGTGGGAACAGGAGAGTAGTCGGGACACCATAATTGCAGGTAGTCATCTGTCTATTGGCACAAGAACCAAAACCCAATCATTTCATCACCCAAAGCCAGACCCTCTATTGGCCTGAGGTTCTGCTATTGCACAACTGAATGGGAGGGGGCGGGGCATAGCGCCAACCTGAACCGAAGCCTAGGTCAGCAAAGCTCAGAGCAATTATTTCGGGGCCCAGACCAGGAATAGATCTGAAGGCTCCCAGGCACTCCATGGTGCTGTTAGTGAGACACCTGACAGGTTCACTTCATCACTCAGGAAAGGGGCGGAGCTCTATCCATTACACTGTTCTCAGCCATTAATAACAGAGACAACATGGGACTCTCAGTCCACAGCCAGCCTCTCGCTCTCCTCACCTGGACTCGAACAGTCCCTGCTTCTCCACAGGACGGACCCGCTTCCTCGTCACCGGCAGCTTGGTCAGGTCCACGGATTTGGTATCCCCGTTGCTGTAGGTGAACTCCAAGATGCTGTTCCACTCGCCCTGAATCCTACACGCCACCGTGTTGGTAGCATTGTGCTTCACCTCGCCCGTCACCCTGAGGAAACGCAAACTCCATTATTGGTCTGAAGTGCTCATTAGAAGATGACGTTTAATCAGGTGATGTTTTACCTTCTCTGGGGAATATATATATTAGGGTTGCAACAACTAATCGACTAAATCGATTATAATAGAGTATTGAAAAAGTTGTCATTGTTTTCAATCATCGATTAATCGGTTTCCGATTAGTTGGCCCTGTTCATGGCTCCACACACTCTGCGCACCGAACCCCCTCCCCACTGCCAGACCCGCCCACATCCACGCCGCACCTCCTCCCCGCCCGCTCACATCCACGATCGGCACAGGGACGCGGGGAGAAGTAAGGAGGAGCAGGTGTGGGGGGATGACAGCGGCAGATAGACAGGCCCGATCTCAGAAGCAAGTTGCTGGAAGACTGCTCAGGTAAGCCTGTACTTTGCCACACATGGTGCTCTAGAATGTATTACTGCTGGGATTTGTAGTCCTCTACAGCTGGTGGTATAATTTTACACTTTCCCTTTCACCATATTGCACACCAGACTTTTTTTTTCTTCTTCCACCGCTCCAAGCTCGCTCCTGTGATGGACTACAATCTCAATACAAAACTAGTTCATCACTGGAGCCATTTTTTAAAATGTATTTTATTTTTTATCCGATTAATCGAACTTAATAAATCGGCCAACTAATCGAGTTCGAAAATAATCGTTAGCTGCAGCTCTAATATAAATGACTGTTTTTAGTTATAGTTTTTTTTTATCCAGAGTTCAGCTTTAAGTAATTATTTCATTCTTTGACTGTAAGGGAAATCAGGAACACAGGTCGGTAAACATTAGCTGGTCTCAGTGGAAGTCAGAGAGACTGAATGTGGCAGAGATGACAAACCTGTGAAGTTTGCCTCCATAGAAGGGTTTGGTGTGGAAGGTGATGGCCGCGGAGTAACCAGTCTTCGCGCAGTTGACGTTTATCTTCCCGCCAAGCTCCACCCACGGCACGGTGAGGATGGAGCGGGCATAGGCACAGGGCAGGGTGAAGGTGTATTCTTCGCCATGTTCCAAGAGGTGGAGGACACCTGGGAGGACGAGAACGGGGGATTAACATGTCACGGAGTGAAGTGAGCTGCATACCTGACCCCATCAGAGGATGATTTGTGACCCCCAAAAGTTGGCTTGCTTTATTTTTAACTCTACAGTAGAGACAACAGTTGTATTATGACGAGGAGCCCCGGGTGAGGGTAGGGAGGAGCCCCGGGTGAGGGTAGGGAGGAGCCCCGGGTGAGGGTAGGGAGGAGCCCCGGGTGAGGGTAGGGAGGAGCCTGTGGAAATGAGGGTGAGGAGGAGCCCAGAAGGGTAAAGATAGGGAGGAGGGATAGGGAGGAGCCCAGAAGGGTGAGGGTAGGGAGGAGCCCAGAAGGGTGAGGGTAGGGAGGAGCCCAGGGGGGTGAAAAGCTGCCATTCTTAGGCTCACTCCCCACACGCATATGCTAGCTCTGACCATTATCCAGACCAAGACTCAGAACAGCAGCTCCTATCAAAGGCTTCTCATATAGGTATTCCTCTTTGTGCCTTGGTTCTGGCGTGTCAGTGTAAACTACATGTAAAAATGACATCCCTCTAAGAAGAACGTTGGAATTGCCCCATAACATCCCCATTGTGCGCCCTGGTCTCAGGCATCACTGATGCTACATTACGGTGGGTGGAGCCACGTGCGTGATTCACCTTCTCCGATCATGGTCACACCGATGGACATCCCCATGAACTTGCTCTTGGTCCAGACGTGCGTGTTGACGCACATGTTGCGCTCGGGGCACTCTGCGTAGAAGCCAGAGACGGGAGGGTGGTGGGAGACCTGCTCGGCCACAAACCTGACCGTATAGAAGTCCTTGTCCTGGTCCTCGGACTCCTCCGGCAACGAGTTCACTTCTGGCACCTCCGAGGATCTGGGGGTCTCCACAGAATCTTTGGGGACCCTCCAGGAGCAGTGGAAGGTCTCCCCGATAATGGGATTATACGGCTTCTTGGCCAGAGCGCCTTTCCGACCTTCGTGAAAGGAGGTGAGATAATACTCCACGAACCTGACCATCCTCTCCTCCGGGGTCACACCCCCGCCGATGGTCAGGAAGAGGTCTGGGTGGGACAGGAAGTCGGCGTACATCTCCAGCAACGATCGTTTCTCCAGGATAAAGGTGGGGAGGACAACCTGAGAACACGGGAAGGACAATTATCAATACGGGGCAATGTAATGATCACACAGAAAATATGGGGGCGTCTATTACCAAGGCACAGAGGGGCCCCCAGATATCCATAATATGAACACATTGGTGGCGCCGAGAACATTCAGGATTTTAATCTTCATCAATCACACCCACCAGGAGACGGCGGTGAAGAATAATAGGGGAGGAATACAGCCCCCCATATAGGCCCGCTCCCGATTTCACAAAAATAGGATTTTTGTACGCGCCGTAAAATCCTTTTCTCTCCGTTCATTGAAGGACACAGGGCAACGCATCGCAGGACATGTGGAAAAGCATGCAGCGGGTTCATTCTCATGAATCGTAGTGAGATCGGGGTTACCTGTGCCACCGACGCGGACCGAGACGTTCACCAAGTGCTCCATTCACCGAATGTGTGCCCATCAATAACTACAAGAGACGCCTATTTCTCTCCCGTTCATTGAAGGACACAGGGCAACTGATCCTGTACGGTAGGTTATATCGCCACCTGCAGGAGTAGGACGCTAGGCACATAACAAAAGACAAAGACAGCCTAGGGGCGGCCCCCTGCTGGTGGACCAACCCCCCCACCTGCTGACAAGTCTCCAGTAAGTAACAAGCAGTTAGGCGCGCACACCCAAAAAAAAAAGAGGGCGGGGCCTGTGTCGTTCAATGAACGGAGAGAAAAGGAATTTTACCGCGAGTGCAAAAATCCTAATTTCTCTCCCGTTCATTGAAGGACACAGGGCAACAGATGGTAGATCCTGTACGCTAGTGTATATCGCCACCTGCAGGAGTAGGACGCTAGGCACACAACAAAAGACAATGACAGCCTAGGGGCGGGGCCCCTGCTGGTGGCCCAACCCCCCCCACCTGCTGACAAGTCTCCAGTAAGTAACAAGCTGTCCTTCAATGAAACTGAATTTTTGGTCCTTACTCCCGACGCTAGGCAAAAAGCTGGAGACTTGTCAGCAGGTGGGGCCACCAGCAGGGGCCGCCCCTTGTCTGTCTTTGTCTTTTGTCATGTGCCTAGCGTCCTTCTCCTGCAGGTGGCGATATAACCTACCGTACAGGATCAGTTGCCCTGTGTCCTTCAATGAACGGGAGAGAAATAGGCTTCTCTTGTAGCGATTGATGGGCGCACATTCGGTGAATGGAGCACTTGGTGAACGTCTCGGTCCGTGTCGGTGGCACAGGTAACCCCGATCTCACGACGATTCATGAGAATGAACCCGCTGCTGCATGCTTTTCCACATGTTCTTCTAACACAACATTGTACAATATCACACAATGCGTCTCCGAAAAGACGTGATGGGACAAGAGACGCACACTTGGAGATATATAGAAGAGAGAGACGCATGATATCCCCAAATCACAATCTCTGGCTGGTGAGGGAAGAGCGCCAATCACAACACGAGACTATTAACCATTCGCTCGCACTGTCTGCTCACCCGTGTCAGGTCCATCCCCAGCTTCAGCTGGGACAGGAGGTGCAGGATGACACTGCGTTGTTCCTCCACTGCCCCCAGATCATCCTCCGCCACGTCACAGGCGTCCTCCACCTCGTCCTCGGGGTTCACATCTTCAAGTTCCTGCAGGAGAGGAGACAGAAGAGGATGGACTCTGCAATGTCTGTAACAGAATGTCAATGTATGAGAGAGCGAGGGAGAAGACAGGATGAGGAGTGAACAGAGAAAGGGCAAAAGAAAGGAAAGGAGAGAGGGGGGGAGAGAGAGAGGGGGGGGG